TTTCCAGAAGCCATTTTGGATTAGAAATTGGCCAGAGTCCTGAACTGACTCAAGGTCTCCATGTTTCCTTGATTTTTTTCCATTGAAATCACATCACAGCATAAATAAAGTATGGGCTCCAATCCAGAACCCACTGGGATCAATAAAAACTTCTCCTAGTCCTTTGCATCTGGGTGTTTTTATACATAAATAATTTGTCAAAGCGCCTGCTTTGTTCTTCTATTTATGGAATAACTAAAACATACTGTTCATTTTTATCCTACAGGTGAGGAAAGCTTAATTCTTTTAGATGGAAGACATGAATTTCCGTTCAGCTTTCAACTCCCTCAAGAGTAAGTTAAATAACCCAACCCAAAGGGATTGTGCTGGATGCTGCTTGTCCAATTAACTCCATGTAATTTGACTTGTGGGTTTTCTTTTAATATCAAACCGATAGGTCAGCTTTATAATGTTTGTCTTAATCCACCACCACATAGACGTGCCTCATTGGCTTCATTTTCCCTAAAGCTCTAAAAGTAGAAGCTATAAGTTGGTAAACATGTGTGTACACAGGAATTGTTCATGTTTGGAGCTGAATTACAAACTGGTAATGTTTCCATGACTGCTTGTTCCAGACCTCTGGTGACCTCTTTTACCGGGAAGTACGGCAGCATTCAGTACTACGTGAAAGCAATTCTGGAGAGGCCTGCAGCCCCTGAGCAAAGCGTCCAGACAGAGCTTCAGGTCATCAGCCACATCGATGTCAGCTCACCAGCTTTATTGGTAAGAGGGTCCTCCATTCCTCCTCCTCCCTCCTTTAAAGCCAGCTGCCAAAAAAAAACCCCAAACCATTTCCAAGAAGCGTTCACATCCAGCCATCACCATTTCCATGTTATTCTGGAGTGTCATTTTCTGACTTCTGAAAGCACCGAAGCTCCCCGAGCTTTCCTCTATAAATAGATGATCTTAGGTTGTGTGAATAGCAACCAGAGTGGCTTTTTTTAAATACCATTGATTACATCCCTGCTGGCAGAGATGCTCTTGCCAAAAAGTTAGGCAGGCTTCAGATGCATAAATAAGGCTTAATAATAATAATGCACAAGCATGAAGTAGTTACTCTTACCAGAGCAGCTACATTCACAGGGCTGCAGCGTCCTAAACTCTACAATAATAGTAGGTTGAGGACCAGTAATTACAGAAGAGTATTAATCATGCCCAGCCTGTCATTTATGCTCTGGCCATTATGTTACGTATCCTTCCATTCTGCGTGTCGTTTTCTAACATGAAGTGCGTGCACGCAGCTGCTTCAGAGATCTTTTCAGTTATTTCCTTATGACAGATTTGGCCACATTAAAGCATTGAGTTTCTAATAATCGCTAGAAATACTGTAGAGTAATAAGAAAGATCAGGCGTTAAGTAATGAGAAAATAGGCAAGATGGAAGCTAATGAGCTGGATTCTTTTATCTCAACCCATATTATGAAAATAATATAAAATTATACCTTGCACTTTCACGATAGCAACTGGATCTAAATGGTTATTCATTTAAATATGAATGAGTAATTTCTATTTTATTTAAAATGCTAGGATAATTTTAACATTTCATCACCATGTGAACATAGCTAAGAGATGTTTTGAGCCGGGGTATTTTCCTCTTTGTATGCTTATGTTTTCATCTTTCTCTCTAGAGGGAACTTGGAGAAGTATTTTGGCAGTGAGATCTGTAAGCAGAATATAGTCTTTATGTTTTACAGTGTATGTTAGGAGTATGAAGAGAGCATATTGAGATACTGCAAGGACAGAGTAGACTGTAGGTTATTGCACAGGAGAGGGTTGAGGGGCACATAAAAGTAGGCAGTGCCTGTCTAAATGGATTCCAAGGCTACTGCCAAAAAAATGCAAAACACCACAAATTTTAGACTTAATAATTCTATTGAGCAGGCACCAGTGCCCCATAAATAAATTTTAAGTAGCTTGAATCCTGGCTTGGACCCTTGACATGAGTATTTGTATGTTGTAAGTTTATTCTAATGACAATCTTACAGGCAGTGTAAATGTGATCTAATGTGACAGTCCTCCATGGATATTTAAGATGTTTTTGGTCATGAGCCTAAATTTTTTGGGGGTTGTGTGGCTTGTGAGTTACGAAGATCCATCACCTTAGCCCAGTGTGCATACATTTATCCTTTCTTACGAAGGATACAAAGGTAAAAACAATTTACCTGCTTAACTATTAGTTGCTTGCAGATGAAATTAATTCTGCATTCTTCTGCACTGAGGAACGTGGGCATAAATACCACAGTACTCCATTAGACCTTTAAAAAGTCACACCTATAAAATTTGCTAAATCCTTTTGAAGACAGATTGTGTTCAAATGCACGTTGGTCTCCGTGTTACCCAGTCGATATGGTTGAAATGCAGACTGGGATTTTAAAACAGCCCCATGTTCAGGTGGCCAAACCTTGGTTCCATTTTATGTGGTGGCAAAACTCCAGTTGCATAGAGTAGTACAGTGATTCAAATCAAGTGGATTTTAGAGCTAGATTGCAATGACTGATATGCATAACTTTAACCTGCAAGTGATTAATAGCTTTATACCATAAAATGAAAAAATACTCTGTATTTTATAGACACCTGTTCTAAGAAGTCAGGAGAAGATGGTTGGCTGTTGGTTTTTCACCTCTGGGCCAGTGTCTCTCAGTGCCAAAATTGAGAGGAAGGGATACTGTAATGGTAAGAGTAGTTACTTGAAATGTGACTATTAAGCATCTAATAGGGTCTTTTTCATCTCTGTGAAGCCAGCACTGTGTTGTGGAAAACACCTCCATTTACTGGGTAGTAAATTGAGATCTATATGAACTTACTTTAACAAAAATCATCTTGCCTTTCCCCTCACTCCCACCTTGGGAATATAAATTGAAAGGAAGTCCTGTCAATAATCTTACAGAAAAGCCATGTACATTTGAGTGTAAAGATCAACAAAATGGTTTTATTTGGGATAATTAGTTGGGGATATAATCAGGTTTTTATGTCCTGTTTGTATAGGTTTACACTTCTGTAAGAAGGAGCTTTAGCAACTTGTCATCTTGATAACATTAGATACATTGAGGAAATAAAATAAACCATTCTGGAAGTCAGTTAGTACTATAAAAAAGGAAGATTGGTGCATAATTTGCAAATAAAGCTTTTATAGCTTGTTCATATTCTACTTAATGTTTCAAAATGAATCATTGTTTATACATAAAATGTAGTAGGTGGCTCAAATTTTGCCTGGATACCACTCTGAAAAAAAAAACCCCAAAAAACAACAAAAAACCCCCTAGCTTCAGGAAACTAACAAGTATTGTTCTCATAACATCGCAGATGATGTACGTGCTGCATAACATGCTTTGATCCTCCCAGAGGAAAGTGGGTAAATACAAATTATTCATTGAACTTTTTCTGTCTTTAAGGGGAAGCCATACCAATCTATGCAGAAATTGAGAACTGCTCTTCTCGTTTGATTGTTCCAAAAGCTGCCATTTTCCAAACCCAAACTTACCTGGCCAGTGGGAAGACAAAAACCTTCCGTCAGATGGTTGCCAATGTCCGAGGAAACCATATTGCCTCTGGGAGTACAGATACCTGGAATGGGAAAACTCTGAAAATCCCACCTGTGTCCCCCTCTATACTTGACTGCTGCATTATTAGAGTAGAATATTCATTAGCTGTAAGTATGGATTTTTATCACAAATGTACCTACTCTTGCACGCTGCACTGAGCTGGGAACAGAAGTTGTTTCTCTACTGAGCAGCTCTTAGATTTTGAATTTGGGAACAACAAATACAAATATATAACCATATAGGTGAGGGACTGAAGATAGTGAGGAGGTTCTGAAATGGAAAGATAGGAATAATGGGGGAAATGGAAAAATGTTTCTGAGGAAGAAGCAGCTCAGTTTTAGACCTGCAGAGCTTATCAGGGGAAAGTAGTTCAAGCTGCATGGGTTCTTCTAGTGAGTCTTTTCAGAAGTAGGAATATAGGACTGAAAGTCAAATGCATAATTATTTTTGTGAATCTGTTTTGTTCAGAATGAAGTTGCTAGAAAATAAGGAAAGTTGCCAGAGAATTAGCTAAACATATCTGGGATGAGAAAAGTCCTAATTTTTAAACAGTCTGCAGTATAGGAGTAGGGACCTTCTAGGAGCAGCAATTCAATGGGGTCTCATGATGTTGTTTTTTCTTTTATTCGGGGGTTGTCACATAGGTGTATATCCATATTCCTGGTGCTAAGAAATTGATGATTGAAATGCCTCTGGTGATTGGCACTATTCCATGTATTGGATTTTCAAGCAGAAACTCCAGCATTACCAGCCAGTTTAGTATGGATATGAGCTGGCTGGCACTGACCATGCCCGAACACCCTGAAGGTAACACATATTGAACTCTTGATCATACAGCACAGTACTGTCTGCAACAGAAGGATGGAAGTGCCAGTTTAAGGGCACTGCTGGGGATGTAGGCCATTAAAGTATGACTCCTGAGAAGTGAGGCAGATAAATACTAAGTCAAGATCCAAAGGGATTGGTGAGGATACCCTAACTCCAGCCTTTTTAAAGTCTCTCTTTACCCCAGTCCAGCTACCTTCAACTGAATCTTGATTGTGTACCTTCTTATAGTGGGGGTTCTACTTTGGAGGTAGAGACCTTAAAGTTAATCATTACTGAATATATCTTGTTACAACATGGATTTGTTGCTGGAGTAGCCCTAGAAGCATCTGTAAGTGTTCTGCTGATTCACCTAAGCTCTGTTTATAAGTAGAGTGCACTTCATACAATTTGACAATAGTAAAATGTTTAATGAATAGAGTCTTCATGGTCTTGGATACTCTAAGATGTATGTTGTCTTGCTATGAGTGATTAGTTTGAAATCTGATGGTAGCATCTCTTTATGTTTCAGCACCACCAAATTATGCTGATGTAGTGTCTGAGGAAGAGTTCTCCAGACATGTTCCTGCTTATCCACCACCAATTGACTGTGAGGAACAATTGTGTTGTCCTGTCTTTGCTTACATACAAGAGTTCCGGTTTCAGCCTCCACCTCTTTATTCAGAGGTAAAAAAATAAACAGCAGGTGGTGTTTTTATTGTCAGATGGCAAAAAAAACCCCCAACACATACAGAAATGCAAGAATTACAGGCAGTAATTGTTGCCTTTCTTCTCTCTGTAGATTGATCCACATCCAACTGATGTAGAAGAAATTCAGCCCGTTTCATTCATGCTCTGAAGAGGATTTGTAATGAGCATCATTGTGATGAATGTCTTAATCTTTTCTGCTGCTTAAGCTGATAGTGCAGCTAAAAAGGAAACACTTTTCTTTTCCAAAACTTAAGTTTGTGTACAAGAAAGGCAAAGGAGAATGGAGAAGGAGGTATGAGCATGTTTGGTGATGGAAGAGAATCTGCTGGATTAGCCTGCACAGAGGATACTGTGGGAGCAGCTATGCTTGGGATACTTGAGAAGTACCTGAAAATACTGAATGCTTTCTAAAAAGTGGATATACTACATAAAGAACGAGGAGATGTGAGGATCTTCTGAAGAGAAAAGAATTCTATTTTGTTTGGAACACTCTGGAAGATGTCGAGAACTTCCTTAGGAGAACTTGCGTAGTAGAACAGAATGTGGGGTGAGAAAACATTTCCAAAAGATTCCAGTGTTCAAGGGGCTTCAGTTTTGCACTGTCTGCATCCAAGAAAGGAACACTACTAAAATGTGGAGCAAAGTCTTCACTCTGGCTTAAACTTGTACTTCATGAGAACCTGCCCTTCTAACAACTGCCAAGTGGTACTATTTCATCATCGGTAATGATTCGAGAGACACCGTGGATGACAGAAGAGCTATTACGCAATATTATGAAGGCAACCATTTACTGAACGAAAGACACGAGTATGTGAAAGAAAACTGAACTTTGAGAAGAGCTTATGCACTATGCTTTCTTTCAAGGGATTTCTTAAGGGAATTATTCTTAGCCTCTTCTACTGTGAGTTCTTTTTCTGCATCTTAAGCCTACGGATAGCATGATAAGGGGAAGCGTGGCAAGGGAGAATCCTTTTGCCAGCAGCAGGTGTACTTAGCAAAATGGACAATACTTATTTATTCAGAAGCCTTTATAAGCCTACCTCTGTTTTGGATATTTGCTTACGGTCAGATTTGAGACCAAAAAAAAAAAAAAAAAAAAAAGCCTTGTTAAAGCTCCAATATACTTCAAGGTTCTAAAAGGGACCCTAAATGGTTTCTGTGGTTAGTGAATGAGATAAGAGGTTTAGGGAGAGGTGTAAATATACCCAGAATAGACATAGCTTATAACTGAAGTGAAAACATACATCAGGGGAACAAAATCCTCTGGTAATGGCACAAAGCTTTTCATTACTCCTGCATTTTTGTCTAGAGATCTGTTGTCAGGGGCTGCACTGGTCATTTGCTATCCATACTATTTTTTTTTTTTTGTTGATGTGTTTCCTTGTTTGTTTTTGCTGTTTTTATTTTGTTTTGGTGCAATATTTTGATGTTTTCTTCCTCAGGTCATTTAGAACAGTGAGAGTTTGTTGCTGCTAAGAGTGAAGGCACAGCATTTTACTTGGCCTTTCTGCTGCCTTCATTTAAAGTAGAATGTTTGCTTCCTGCCAAGCATCAATTGGAATAAGTAAGCCACCATCAAGAGATCACTTAAAAGGAGCAGAAACACAGCATTCTCAATACGCACGTTTACAGCTGAGTCTTTAAAACTACAGGGGATTTTGGACCTCTAGAACTACTCCATGTGTCTTACAGAAGGGTTTGGGGTTCAAACCCGGTGCTTCGTGTGGTAAAACATTGTACTTTCTGATAACTACAGAACTAGTAACTGAGTTTCCTTCATTTCATCAATAACTGCAGTTTAAAAAAAAGTTTGAATGGTTTTTCTGAAATCTCTTCATTGAAGAAGCAGAGATTTTTCTACAGGCATACACGGATATATATTTTTAGTCATCTTTTAGTATGACTTCCTTACATTGTCTTAATTTCTAGCACTTCACCTCAAGTCACTTTCACATCAGTGTAAAAGACACTGATTGAGATTCACCTTTCCAAACTGCAGTTATTTTTTTTTTTCATTTGCAACTTTTAAGTATTGTCTTCTCTAGCAAATGCAGCTTTAACCAAAATTTGAATGCAAGTTCTAGAAAGAACATTCTAAAAATGAGTATTTATGTCTAAAGTCTTGAGATGTAGCTCTCATTGCCTTTTTATTTATAAGTGATGGCGTGCCCATGCAATCAGTGCAGGATTTTCATTCACATCACCTAGAAAGGGAACAAGCTTATTTTCCTTAAACAGATACCATGATTAGTTACTTGAAAAGCAATGTGGCTGTGCATTAACTTGCATGTTAATAATTCAAAATATTAGCTTAAAGAACTTTAGGTGCTTTTTTTGGACTGTAATACCTGATAGGTGATGTGTGCTACCTGGTATAAATATGGTCAAGCAAACAAGAGCATGAAGGGTAAAGATGTGCTTTTTTTTTTTTTCCTAAAATCTTTCAGTTGTTTTTTTTTATTATTTGCAGATAAACTGTGGCCTTAGATTGTTTGCTGCAAAAAAGACAACCAGAATGTGTTTCTTAGGAAGCACACATGGCCCTTCAAAGGAGGGGTGAAAACAAGATTAAATTCTGCTCTCTGACACTTGGCTTAGTGCAGAAATTGATCCTTAAAATAATTACTGTTTGCACAATAATAAGTTCAATATGCAGGGGCTTTGTTTTGATAACTGTGAAACAGTTTAAAAGAGACAAAATAAAAAAAAATAAATAAAAAAACCACATGCTGTTTAACACACAAGAACATGATTGTATTTTGTACTAATGAATGAGCCCCATGGGTTCTTTGTTAATAAAAGTGTCAAACTTACATTGTGCTGTTCATCTCCATTTTGGTGTCTCTAAGAAATGGCTGCAATGTCAAGAAATAACCTGTATTCTACCAACTTGGAACACATACAGATCTCCTAATTCTTTGCTGATCTGGGAACTCTGCCTTCATCTCTCACTGCTTTAGTTGTCTGAACTATCTTTAGCCAAGAATTGAAAGGAATTTATCAAACATGGCCTGTTCCCACCTATAGTTATTATGCAATATACAGGACTTAAGTGTGAGTATCTTACCCGTAATGACTGAAGTGGCAGGTTGTGTGCTCTAATTGGATTTCTCATCTCATGTCTCAATCTTAATGGGATATTTTACAATGTTTCCTTTAGACAATATTCTTATTACCATGTAGTTCACTGATCTAAATACATCAGAACAACCTTATAACCACAGTACAGAACAACTAAAGCAGAGCACCTTTTACCATGGGTGACAAACTGTATCTACCACATAGCTCACCTAAGCCATACCTGAGATGATGAAATCTCTGTCAGGGTCCTGCATCCCAAAGATTTGAGGAACAACCACTAGAACAGTTGATTTCTTCTTCCTGCTTCCACTTCTGAGGGAAGATGGAAAACCTCTCCTTGCAAAATGCAAACAAAGATGCTGTTCAGGATCATGGGTCCAAGCACTGGAGCTTGCAGGTGGGGTTGTGACTCATAGAAAGGAAAATGGAAAACCTCAGATTCTGGCCTAAGACTTCTAAAAGGTCTCTTACCAAGTGATTCTAAAATTTCCTATCGCTAAGATCACAGTAGCAATTCCATTTAATCCATTCTTAAGTTTTATAGGGGAGTATTTCTGCTGACAAACTGTAATTGTCTACTATAAAATATGTTTAGTGTTTAAATAGGTAGTAACCGATGTGCTCTGTCCTCCAGGGACCGAGCAGATACTGCAGGCTTGTGTTTGCAGCTCTGATGCTTCCCATGTTTACTCTGTATGCGAGTTGTGTGTTTCTATGCAAAGACAAATCATTTAATTTACTCCTGGGACATGTTCCAAACTCTCAAGATAGCATGTTCCGCTACTTCACCACAAAATTTGAACAGCAAAAAGGGAACATCTAACTTATTTTGTAAAATCTCTATTTTATATATATATATATATA